TTCGAGATTATTTTATTAGTTTTTTTTGGACTACAAATATTTTTAGTACTTATTTTAATTTTAATATGGTGTCACTAAAAATATAGCATGCATTCATTTTTATATTAATTTAGCTAAATATACAAGGGGCCCCCATTTCGACTCCTTTCACAAAGTTCGCCTTGGGCCTCCGAAATCCCAGGAACGGGCCGGTCTAGGCCCTCCACCCACCATTTCAAGCACTGCACCAGCTACTAATAATCCAAATATCTTGCCCCCCACATTTACAAAAATAAATGGCCAAGAAGCTCGTGAACAAAGCCAAAAAGGCATGTGCTACTACTGTGACGAAAAATTCAAACGAGATCATCGTTGCCAACGACCTCAATTCTATATGATCGAGAATGTGCACGTGGAAGATTTCTAGTCAACCGACCCTCCAAACAGTCCAAACGATCCCATACATACATCAAGATTTTATCCTTGAGGACAAGGATATTCGAAGCGGGTGGGAATGATACGTGCATAAGTTAGTATAAATATTCGCTAGATTAATTAGTAAATTAATTAGTAGATAATTAGTAGAATTAGTCATGCATAAGAATATGTCTTATTAGTTTGCAGAAGTGGAGTGAGACTTATTCCCTCGTACTGCACAATTCTAGGGAATAGAGTAGATGTTGTTTTTAATTATCGTATTATAAATATAGAAGAATGTAAGGAAACATGGATATGAAATTCTCCTCTTAAATCTTCTTATTATCTCTTTTTTTCTAATCTCCTCTTATTCTTCCAAATTCTCATTCCTAAAAGTCTTGGAACATATCAGACACTGGAACATTAATACCCTTCTTCTTGGAGTTGTAGTCATCAAACAAATCATAACAAATGTCCTTAACTTTACTGACTTCATAAAAAGAATCATGTTATAATTTTTTTTCCAAACAAATATTCCACCGATTTCATCTTGAATTGTGGATCTAGTATTGCTACAACTCCTATGATGCCATCAATCACTTTCCAATAATCATTAAACTTTTCTAAGATGCTTAATGCCATCTTCCTAGTCATATTATATGGAGATTTTGACCATTCAGTCAAATGTATTTTAATCTCACAGATCTTAGGAAAAAACATATTAACAGTAGGATAAGTAGTACCATGAAACAACTCGGTTACCTTATGAAATAAACCTAATTTCTCGCAAATGTCAGCTAAGTCCACTCATCATCACTTGGCATGAAATTGTAGAGTAGCTCATGTTGCTTCAACCGGAAGAAAACATCCTTATACACCAAAGCGGTAGAAAGCATTAGATAAGTTTGTTGATTTTAAATGCCTATGAAAAATCACTCGTTCTATTCAGACATATTACTTGTTACGACATTAGGTGTGGTAACAGAATTCTTGTGTTGTCACAGTAATAAACCTACTAAAAGCAGAATAAAGAACATAAGAATTTAATGTGGTTCGGATACAAATGTACCCTACATCCACGAGGACTTGCAAAACTAGTTCAGATTTAAGTGTACATTAATAGGACTTAATAAAAACACTAAAGACTCCATCTTTATGTAATATGCCGTTCTTGCACACGACTCGAACTTGTCGATATTCGAAGCAATTCATCCATCCGCACTCTTGGACTTCCTCCAATGTTGAACTCCATTTAAACGGCGGATCGACCTCTCCCGAGATCTTTTAAGCACTTCTCCTGAAACGCCGATCTTCTTTATGGTCTGGTAGAAGAAACCCATTCTGTTGCCACACCTGATGTGCCGATAGGGCTGCAGCACGGGCTGCACCCTTCAAAGCCTTTATGCTTGGATTTTTCTTCTTAAAGCTCCATGAGACTCATATGAGGTTGAGGGCCTTATATAGGCACGAAATCACCACCCTAAACCTAACTTGAGTCCTAAGAAATCGATTTAACTAGGTAATAGAATCCTAGTCGATTTCTACTTCTATTCTAGATAAGTACAAAAGATACCTAACTAGAATATAATACATGAAAATAAATCTAAGTCCTAATAACAATATTACAAGAATAAGACTCTAATTAATTCCAAAATAAACATGGAAAACAAGTATTTGCCAATCTTTAATTTCCACGTATGGCGGATTTCTTCAATCTTCACTAACAGAAATCTGGCGCCAACAAAGTTGAATTCAAACGTGTTTTTACATCAAGAACTAACACCTAAGTACAATAAACACGCACTTGTCTAGCAACTTCTTCAAACTTTTGCCTTCTCTTTGTTGATTTAATCCAAAAAACAACAGCGTCACACACTTTTTCAATACAATATCTTTGATAATCACCAAACCGTCTTGAGCAATCATATTTAGAATACGAGCAGCACAACGCATGTGTAACAATGATCCATGCAAGATCAATGAAAATAGCTTCTAATTAGAGAGTATCATTAACATGGCATCATTGGTGCTATAGTTGTCCACAATAAAGGTGGATAACTTTCGTTCAACATCCCACTCTAGCAAACAATCCATACGAACATCCGAAAGAACTTCACTAGTGTGAGATGGCACATAAATAAACCTATGATAAAATTAAACATAAGTTAATTAAAATAATTTATAAAGTGAACTACAAAGTATATATAAGAAATGAATTAATGTGAAAATGAATACCTTATCACATGATTTTGTGAAACCTAATAATTATCAATATAATGGGTAGTGACGACCAGGAACCCTCTTTTTCTATTGCTTGAAGTCCACATATCTGTTGTAATTGCAACCCTACTTTTATTTTTCTCAATAAATTTCATAACCTTCTCTTTTTTCTGATCCATGGATTTTAAATATATCCCTCTTGATTGTGTTTCTAGATATCATCTTAAATAATAGTTGAAGAGTACAAAAAGTATTTTTTGAAACCAATATAATCAACAATACTCAGGAGAAACTCATGCAAAATTATTATACAAGCGAGCTTGTATCTAGCTGCCTCTTGATTTAAAATGTCCAGCTGCCAATCCCATATGACCATCTAATTTATTTTATTTATTTATTTATCAATACCTTTTGCCTCATGTCCCTAATGTCTTTATACTTTCTCTTCCAAAATGTAAAAAAAAACTCACAACGAATTACTGAAAAAATTATAATTTATTTATTAAAAAAATTGCACCAAATTATTTGATTGATGGATCTCCTATTGTCATTGGGGAAAATATTTTGTAGAAATATTTAGAAGAAAATATAATCCACAAAATAGCTGAAGAATTATTATTTTTTTTGTGTTTTGTAAGGAAAAATAACTAAATATATCGATGAGAAGTATTTCTATTTTTGCACTTTGTAGTTTTAAAATGATTGATGAATATAAAAAAATGATTTGAAAATTAAATCAGGGAGCATCTAGTGGCGAGTCCAGGAATGTGTTACAACTAAATTTTCAAGGGGTAAGGGGGCAACACCCTTGAAAAAAATTAGATATTTTTTGTGACAAAATCAGAAAATAGAAAAATAAAAAGAAGAAAAAAAAGAAATTAGAGTGTTTTTGCATTATTTTGAACTTTGAGTGGACTAATTAAACAATTGGATTATTATTATTTTTTTCATTAATTTTGATTTAAGGTGGACTAATTATTAAAAATTGAATGAACTTAATAGATATATAAATATAACATAGTGGGAAATTTATAAATTGATGGTGGACTTGAGTCCACCCTGCCAAAGGGGTGGACTCGCACCTGAGTGCACCATGTATAATTTATTGTATTCCAAAGTTGCAAAGTGCTACTAATTTTTGTCGAGGATGCAAAATACCAAAAGTTAATATTTCAAGGGTGCAAATAGGGATTAAGCATAAGTAGGCTTATAGGTAATTCATAATTGTCCCAAAATAGAAAGATGAGAGACTAATATGTGCCGATTGATATTAATTGTAAAAGTTGGGCAAAAAACAAAAAACAATTGTTTATAGGCTGCACCTATTTGCAATCTCAAAATTTCTAAGCTCAAGACCTTACTTCATGCAAGACCAAAATATAAATAAATTTACTAAGAGTAAGACTGGAAATTACAAATATGACCCCAATATTAATTTTGATATTATTAATTCAAAAAATGCCTAATTGCTATTGCAAGACCAAAAAAATAAAAATGAAAAATGACTATTCTTCTTCACCAACAAAACCCAAGCTCTTCTTCTTCACAAAAAAACTCTTTCATATTCTCCAAAAACCCTCATCAAACAAAACCCTCAAATATTACTAAAACTTGAAAAGAACGACATTATGGACACAAGAAACATTAATATGGATGATTCTAAGGTCGAAGAACACAATGAGATAAGAAATGTTGTACTTTATTTAGCTTTGTGATCGTTTTTTCGTTTTTCGAAAATAATTTCGCGTACACAAAAATTCGACGTTTACAGGTCGATATTTAGCAATAAAAATGACATTACAACGTCGATTTTCTCAGTTTCTGAAAAATCGACGCCAGCATGTCATTTAATTGCTAAAAATCGACACACGGATGTCGAATTTTGAACAAAATATCGACACACAAATGTCGAAAAAAATGCAAATAATTGACAACAACTTATTGTCGAAATTTAGTGAAAATTTTGACACCAATGTGTCGAAATTTTACAAAAAATTCGACAAGTACAGGTCGATATTTTTAAAACCACAATTCCTTCAACAATGGGGGTGGAATCTAACCCTAAAATCATACCCTATGCTCTAAATGGACTTGTGGCAACTGTCGACTGCAACGACGACGGCGGTGCTGGTCGACTTCATCGGCGACGGCGAATCTGCAAATAGTTCTATTCTTCCCTCCTTTCCGTTCTTCAATTGTGTTTGGTTTCTTTTTTCTTTTCTTTTTTTTTTTACTTTTTTTTAATTTGATCTTGCAAGAGTAATTGGTGTAATTATGTTTATATTTTACTAAGGTCATTATAGTCTTTTTACACTTAATTTAGTATAAAATTTTATTTGGTCATGCCCTGAGTAAATTTCGGATTGCATATAGTGGCTGCCCTTGTTTATAAGTGGGAGGAGAGAGAAGAGCAGCATCTCTGCCAAAAAAACAATGGCGATTTCAGCTGAATCCATCACTCTCTGTCTTGTAACCTACGAAACCACCAATGGCAACCCGCCAAGAATCCCATTCCTAAATCCCCAAACCGCCCAATCATAAAATTTTAGTATTTTATTCACTCCTCTGTCATCTTGTATATAATAATCCCTCAATCCAATCGCTTACACATTGGATTGATCATTAATATACATTATATATATATATAAAGAAAAACCCTAGATGCGTTCGTCGTGTGTTGATTTAATCGCCACCCACCCACCCCCACTCACTCACAGTCGGTATTATATTGGAATCTAGTCAGAAATGCTTTCGAAAATTCGATTATTGAAGTTTTCAGTGGGCTTCTCTTTCTCTTCTCCTCCTCAAAAGAAGTATTGTATTCCGGAAGTAGTTACATTTGCTGCAAAGCTTCGATCGCAAATGGGTTCGGCTTCGTATGCCACGTCATCTGGTTCAAGTTTGCTTTTCCGACAGCTTTTTGAGAAGGAGTCGTCCACCTACACTTACCTCCTCGCCGATCTTTCTCATCCTCATAAACCCGCTCTGGTATTTTTCCTTTTTTTTTTTTTTTTTTTTTTTTTTGAATTTGAATTTCAGGATAATTGGATTTTTGCATTGTGTGTAGGACTGAATTGTGTATTGGTAGCTCTTTCTATCTGATACGGATTCATTCGTCAAATTGGATTAGAATTGCAAAATTAGAATTTTGAATTTTAATATAATTGATACGGAACGTCAAATTGGATTAGAATTTCGAATTTTAATAAAATTGATACTGAGCGTCAAATCGGATTAGAATTGCTAAATAACTTTTTAATTCGGAGAAGAATTTCGAATTTTGATAAAATCTTTAGCGTTTTCCCTATTTTCTGGTGGATTCCGAATGTTCTTTTGTTCTATATGAAATTAAATCCTCTTTCACATATTTTTATTTTATTTTTAATTTAAATTACTTATGGAATTTGAATTTACTTGGGTAAATTATGTATTGGAACGAAAACGAATTGCTCTCTCCTTCAAGACTGGTGGTGGTAGATAATTAAATTATTGTAAATAATAGATTGCTGGACCACTTCGAGAGAGATATATATGATGGTGCAGAATCACAAAGGTGATAGATAGTACAATTTCGTGCTTTATTTTCGTAACCTTTTCGTTTCCTTTGACAATAGAAAATTAAATCAATCTACTGTTACCCAAAAATAAAGCACTTCAGTTTTGGATTTACAGTGGGGCAGACGATTCGAACTTTTCACAACTCACGATTAATAAGAATTTAAACATTTGTTATATTGCGTGGTTGGATTTTTGTATTACCCACTGATGTAATATTCTTGATACAGTTGGTTGACCCGGTGGATAAGACCGTGGATAGGGATATTTCTCTCGTTAAAGAGTTGGGTTTGAATCTCATTTATGCAATCAATACTCATGTACATGCAGATCACGTCACCGGTACTGGTTTGCTTAAGGTTTGTCCTAACTTTATTTTCATTTTCTCTTTTGTATTTATTACTAGTTCTAAAGATTTATTGCGTATTTTATTTTGCTCGATAGATCAAATCTTATGTTAGCATGCATTCTCTACTAAAACCCGTTTCCGTGTTGACATGGCTGTACCCTGCAGAGCAAAGTTCCGGGATTGAAATCTATTATTTCTAAAGCAAGCAATGCAAAAGCGGACCTCTTTGTTGAAACTGGTGATAAAATCTGTTTCGGTGATCTCTTTCTCGAGGTAAATGAAATGAATTGCTATGAAATACAAATAGAGTATTTTGTATTATCCTTTTATATCACATACTTGTATCTTCTTGCAGGTTCGTGCAACGCCAGGTCACACTCAGGGTTGCGTTACGTATGTCACAGGTGATGGACCGACTCAGCCTCAACCAAGGATGGCTTTTACGGGTGATGCTTTATTAATTCGTGGTTGTGGTCGGACTGATTTTCAGGTATCGTTTGGTTCATGAGAATCTTTTCAAACTTAAAGTCTAAGTTGTCTTTTTCTCGTCACCTCGATTCTTGAACAATCTCTTTCATGCATAGGTGCTGACTATGAATTCAGTATATACAATAAGACGATATCATTCATTCCCGCTTTTAGAAACTTCGATTCTCAGTCTTGAGAATTCATATGCACAATCTGTCTAGAAATTATTCTCATTTAGTCGATTTGTCCAAATTTCGTTTCAGTAATACTCGTTTCATTATTCTCACCCCTGTTATTTTTTTTTTTTGGTAAGGGTGGAAGTTCTGAACAGCTTTACAAGTCGGTTCATTCACAGGTAGGAATGCAGATGAAATATATTTTCATAAAATTGTGAATTTAAATTAACACTCGTCTATTCGCAATCTGCGTAACTAACGCTCGTTTGAGAATTTGCTCAAAAAACAGATCTTTACATTGCCTAAAGACACATTTCTGTATCCTGCTCATGATTACAAGGGGTTCTCTGTAAGTATACATATAAAAATTACGTTACTTTCTTGATGCACCGAACGACTTCAGTTGCTTACTATACACATGCTGCTCGTGGTTTTTAGGTGACTACGGTTGGAGAAGAGATGCATTACAATCCCCGCCTTACAAAAGATGAGGTGATTCCGCGGCTAAAAATGAATAATTTTTTCGCCAACTTCGTCATTTTAATAAACAGTTGTTCTTCCATCTCACTTCTGAAAAGCAAATCGTAATTCATTATTGCGCTATAATCCGATTTGTCGTTTTTTGCAGGAAACATTCAAAACCATCATGGCAAGTAAGTACTTTGGCCGTTGTTGAGTCTCTGTTTAATTCAATGCAAAGTTTTGTCGTATTATATATCGTAGCAAATAACTAATAAATTAAATTTAAAATAATACAGATTTGAACTTGTCGTACCCAAAGATGATAGACGTAGCAGTCCCTGCTAACATGGTTTGTGGTTTGCAAGATATTGAATCCAAAGGCTCGTAAAATCTTGCTCCAGAGGTAATGCCTGCCTGTCATTCAAAAGTCGAGTAATTTGTGCAAAATTGTTATCGGGAAAATTGTGGGAATTGTATTTACAAGTGTTGAATAAATTTGCCTTTTAGTCTTTACAAGGAAGGGCTAACACATTTACTGTACTGTGGTAAATATGTTGTTACTGAGAAGATAAATATCCCTCTTGACTTTCATCTCTAAATTAAAAGAACTCTTGCAACAGCTGTTTTTAGGGGTAGAATCAACATGTTTCGGGGAATATTCCGTGAAAGAATAAATATTCCTTGGAAAATCACACTATAAGGGGGTCAGTGTAAGACGGAAACAAATGTCGGTTGATTTGGTAATTACAGATAGGTGGGGGTGTTTTTCGCGATTTAGCATAAGTTGAGGGAGGTTTTTGTAATTTAACCTCAAATGATCTTATAAGTAGTCATTACAAAAATGTATCAAACAAAAACAAACTCCGGGCTTCATTCCACAACGAGAGAAGCTCCAAAAACGAGAAGTCGTTGAATTGACGGAGGTGAAGAATGGGGATGATTGCATTTTCAGTCTCGATGCTTAACACCTAAAACGATTTTAGTCTTGAACGTGCATTTTTGTTTTTGCACTTTTGGTCATGTTGTCACCTTTGGTGGGTTAAATTATATTGAATTATCGCTCACGTGACGTGCACGCGCCGCCCAATTCTCAGCCTAGATAGACCACAAATTCATCAAACTTATTTTTTTCCCCAATTTCACACACCAAACCCCTAAAATCTCATTCCCCAAATCTTTATTCTCTCCCACTTCAATCTTACCATCCGCATATTGAGGGTCGGGGCTGCGAAATTCTGAAATAAACGATCGGGTTGGAGAACTTACTTCAATCGAGGATTGGAGGTTTCAAGATAATAAATGCTCCTAAACTTGCGATTTTGACTTATTCGACCTCGATTTGCGGATTAGAAGATGGAGTTTGGGAGGGGATAAATATTTCACGAAGAAGATTTAGAGATAAAGTTGAAGGATCTCCTTCCTCTTCCTAGTTTCAAATACTTCAAACTTGTAAACATTCACCATTTAACATCGTATCAGCGTCTGCTCCAGACTCGATAAAAAAGATTCCACATTTAGAAGTTGTAAAAAGCAAGAAGTAGTCCAATTTCGCATTCACCAAACATATTCGAATAAAAAAAGAAAAGAAAGAAAAAAAGAGATGAAGTAAAAAAGTCTTTCAACAAAGTTTCACCGAGAAATATAAGAACTCTCCACGCGGGTTTACGGCAAATCAAGGTCGCCGTCGTTTTCATCATTGACCTTCGAGAAGCTCGCCACGTCATCGAAGAAGCTTCCGAATCGAACATTAGCCCTACGCGACTCATTGCCAAGGGTATTCAGGTAATCTTCATAGTTGTCCATCATAGGGCGATGGTGATGAAATCCCCATTTTCTCCCTCCCCCATCCTGCAGCAACTCCGACCATTCCGGAGAGTAACGATCAACGGCACACTCTGGCATAGGTGGAAAGAGTGGCAATAGAGCTGGTTTGGCACTAGCAAATAACTGATGATCTTCCTCCTCCTCCATTTTAGAATGATGTATATTCATACCTGAAATTGCTTCTGCCACTCCCCTGTTCTTTCTAACTCCACCCTGAGGCTTCTCGGAAATCAAATTTATTGTTCGACATCAATTAGACATATAATCGTCGATTATTAACATATGACGAAATGTTGAGAAAATGTGATAGTGCACAAGAATAGTTTATTTAATTACCTCAACTAGTAGATTCAGATTTCCATATCTCTCAGCTCCAAGTGCTTTGATTCTGCTCTCATTTAGCAATCTGAAAGAAATAATAATAATAATAATAATAATAATAATAATAATAATAATAATAATAATAATAATAATAATAATAATAATAATAATAATAATAATAATAATAATAATAATAATAATAATAATAATAATAATAAAGTAAAATATAATCTTTTGAATTAGAAATACTTCGGATAGAAAAAAAAAATAATGAAGAAATTCGTACTTATTCATGTCAAATGCCTTTGAGATTGAAGATCCCTGGCCTTCCATTAGGGTTGCTGGTGGCAATCGCTCGTCGTTCCGTTGGCCTAAAACTTATCGAATTTAAATGCACATAATTAATCACTGAAAATTAATTTAGAAAATGGAAGGCTTAAATACTAAACTCATTGTCTCAGTCATGAATAGTAAATATTTATGGTTTTAAAGAAAGTAAAATGCTTTCTTTGCTGTCACTTACCGAATGCGCAAAAAATCAAATTTTTACGAATTAATCCTAATGGTGTAAAACGTAAATAGTTGTAATACATATACATCTGCTAAAACGTACAACAGGGCTATCAATCGCCACCATTCATTCATCCACACTCACCGATATGGATCGATGTTAGTGTATTTTTTTATGTAAATGAATGGTGGCGATAGATATATAGCCGGTGTAACATGAAATAAACTGCACGGTCATAATTTTTTATTAGCAGACTAATTAATTATGAAAAAAACGTACAACAATCCGCTGCCGCGGGTACGAATTCCCTTCTCCATAATCTTCTTGAAGTCTTGCCAAGCCTGAATTTCTGTAAAAAAATTAATGAAATTTTGTGAAGAATTAATTAGTAACTGGAATTAATTAGCTCCTCCTATATATATATATATATATATATATATATATATAGAACCTGTAAATGACTCTTGAGGTGGTAAAGAGTGAGTCCTGGCACCCCCATTAGATTCAAGATTGCTTTAGGTGTTGCCTCTGCAAATTTAAATTTTAAATTTTTTCATGAAACAATTATTATTATATATTCGAAAGTAAATTTAAATTTACATTTTTTTAAAATTATTTTTTACTTTCATCAAATAAGCTTCTGCATGCACATAAAAAGCAACTAACTTTTGAAACAAAAAAGAGAGAATTTTTGTTGAGAATTTTTGTTAAGAATTTAATATAAATATATATTTTTTTATTTCCAATTAAAGAACACACACACACACACACAAATACAGCACAGCACACACACACACAGCTCAAAATGCAAGAAACATGCTAGCTAGTAATTAATTTGCACCATTCACATCAAATTCACCACACATTGAAGAAAAGAATTAATTAATTTAATGATTATTAATTAAAAAAAAGGGGAGGATTAAGAGAATGATTAAGTACTATTTGCTCCACCGAGTTCATCGACAGCCTTAACAAACTGGTCGTGAAGTTCTTGCGTCCACCGCAGCCTCGGCCTCGGATAAGTAGCCTGATACATATCGAAATCGATCTCGCTTTGACTATAAGTTTCCATCGCAGCCGGTGCCGCCGCCGCATGCGGAAGCAGATCGTAACCGCCAACTGCCTCCTCCGCCTGAATTTCGCGGCGGCGATTAATCTCATCATCACCAAACATGAATTCCCCTCTTCCACCGCCGCCGCCGGACCACCACCAAGAAGTGCTCTCCGTCTCTCTTCGAGTCGACGCCATTATAAGATCAATGGTGGTTTTGAATAAATGAAAAAATGGAGTAATACTAGGGTAGCTGTTTTTAGTGTGTGAAAAAACACACGTTTGTAAGTAAATGCGTTTGGTGGGGAGGTGATGTATGCATGCAGGTGTATGTATACGTGGAGGGGTAATTTGGGAGGGCTTTTTCTTTTCTTTTTTTTTTTTTTTTTATTTTTTGTTTTTAATTTAGAGAGAGTTCAAAAAAATTAAACCGATGGATGGTTTGTGAGGTTGTCTGTTTCCTATGGAGCAATTTAAGGTTTAACTGATTCATTCAATTTTGTGGATGTCTTCGTTATTAATGTGTATTGAGGTGTGGGTCCCATTTTTTTGATTTGGTATATTTGTACCTTGTTTTGGATATTAATTTATTTTTTATATTAAAAGGACATGGATGACAATGGTTCGTTTCTCGGACTCAGACCCAACCCAACCCAGCTTTATCGGAACTCAAATTGCTTCGCCCCACACCTGAATTTAACGGGTCTGACCTGCAAGAACCATTCGACTTGTTAATATTAAAGAAATATTTAATATTTCTTGACTTTTGTAATATTTTACTCGTATATTTGAAAGAAAAATAATGTAAACATTCAAATTCAATAATCCAAAAAGTTATGCATACTATATGATAAGTGAATAATACAAATATGTTATTAATTATTTGTTTTTTTCATACACCACTTTTTTTTTTTTTGTCCAAAAAGATTTGTATTCCAAGAAAAGATGATACAAGAGGGCCTCGTTCAAAATCATGTGAGTCTGCACAAGGAAAAGAGTACCTCTCAAAATGATGAACAAAAAATCAATAGGAAAAATTCCTATATATACAAGTAGGAAAATTGCACGGCTCCGACTTGTTCGTCTGCCTCAAACTGTGTGGCATTATATACAGTTAAGGTCGATAATCCCATACAAGGCCGGCCCAAGCCCAAGGCGAGCAAGGCCGTCGCATTGGGCCTCCGAAAAATCGAAAACTTTTAGGGCCTCCAATTTTTTGAAATGTTTATATAATCTCAGAGCTACAAAATTTTTCCAAGAATGGCCTTTAACATAGATGTCTAAGTTGTACTCTTAGCTAGGTTTCTGATCGTCCCGTGTTCGATTTCTTAGAATTGCCTTTAACATAGATGTCTAAGTTGTACTCTTAGGTTTCTGATCGTCCCGTGTTCGATTTCTTGATTGATCGTCTAACAGCTACCATTCCCCTCTCTCTTTGTTTTGTTTATTTTTTTCTTTTTTTCTTTTATTTTTAATTTCCCGCTTTTTTTTTTCTTTTTAATTTGGGTTAAATACAAAAACACCCTTGTTAGTATGGTCTTTGTATCATATAACCCCTGTACTACACATAAATACAAAACCCCCCTGCTGTTATATTTTTTTCCAAAATCTGACGAAAATACCCCTGCTAACTTGAATTTTTTTTATATTTTTCTTCAAAACATTTAGTTAGTTAGATTTTTTTTTCCTGAATAAAACCTTCTATTTTTGTCCTTTTGAATTTCTTCTTTTTTTTCTAAAATGTCTTCCGGTATTTCAAATTCTCAACAATAATAATCTTAGGACATTTGGACTACCGGAAGACATTTAAGAAAGAAAAAATGAAGAAACTCAAAATGACAAATATAAAAAGTTTTTTAGAAAAAAAAAATATACAAGCAATTACAGTGGAAAATGGCTCAAAAAAATGAATAATATATATATATATATATATATATATATATATATATATATATATATATATATATATATATATATATACTCCCTG